GCATAGCAGCACGTCGCGCTGGCAAAGATTTACGGGAAGACCACGAATACACAGGTCAGCATCAGTTCTGACTGAAGAAGGCAAACAGGGCTATGGCATTATAACACGTCAGGCAAGGTTCCATGGGGACGATGCAGACGAGGAGATCTAACAGTCAGAAATTGGAACATTTCCTCATTTAGAGGTAATGATCAAGAGCTAATTGATGATGCCGCAAAGTACCAGCTGGACATACTTGAACTCTGCTCAGTGAAGCGCCATGGCTCTGGAATTTCGAACCTCTGCTGGTGGAAGCTATTTTACTCAGGCGTTGACATCACGACGGGCGCTCAGGCCAGTGTTTATGTTCTGAAAAAATCCAACCTGGCTGCCATTATCATCAACTGGAAGCCCGTAAACAGAAGAGCAGCAATCCTCTGACTCTGTTTGCAACAGGTTAAAGCGTTGTGAAGCTTGTTACATGTCTGTACGCCAAATTTAAAGGGGGAATACGAGTCCTTTTTTGAAGAAGTACAGTGTGGTCTTTGCGAAATGCCGACCACGAAGTTCCTCATTCTAATGGGCGATTTTAATACGCATGTCGAAGTTAACACTTAAAAGTGGAAAAGCATGATTAGAAAGAACGGCCCTAGTCACCTCAACGATAACAGCATGAAGATATAGTGCTCTTATGCAAACAACGGATTGTTTATTATGAACACCTTCGAGCATCGAAGAGTGCATCAGTACACCTGGTACCGGGAAGCTTGTGCACAGAAGTCGATGATCAATTTAATAATCGTATCGTCTGACTTCAGACGCTCAGTAATGGATGTTCGTGTTAAAAGAAGCGCAGAGCTATCAACCGATCACCATCTTGTTGTTGGCACGCTGCGCTGTAAGAAATGGAGTACCATACGATGATCTGGTGGCAGAAGCAACCTGAAAATCAAATGGGAAACATTATCTTCAGTGGACACAAGAGCGAAATTTGCAAACATCGCACGACGGTTTGAATAGAACAACTGATATTGAAACCAAGTGGTAGCTCTTTAAGTGCGGCATACTCGAGGATGCCGCCGAATGCTGTGTATTTGAACACGTTGGTCCGCCGCCTGGAGATCCAAAAAGATCTTCCTGGTGGACATGAGAGGTACAGCTGGCAATCAAACAGAGGAAGGCTGCATTGAAGAAATGTCTTGGAAGCAAAGAGCCTTCTACTCGCATATGGTATGAAGAAGCGAGCAAGGCGGCTGTGAAAGTAGTGGCGAAGGTGAAAACTGAAAGTTCGATGATGTTTAGGAGTCGAAGGACATGCAAACTGTTGCGCTGCCTCTGAGGTTGAAAGAAGGGCATTCAAAGAGTACTGAACGACTAATCTGGACGATCTCTTTCCAACAGGAGACATACTTTGACGATGGAAGAAGTACTTTGAGGATCTCCTTAACGCAGAGCATCACAAGAAGTGTTGCGACAGGCAACGGCTCTCAATCTTTCAGCATATGAAGTCACAGTAAGTGTTAAACGCTAACGTCGTTAAAAATGGTAAGGCTCTTGGAATCGGTTGGATTCGCCCTGAAACGCTTAATGGTTTAGGTGAGCAAGTCCTTTTGTGGCTAACATGTTTGTTTCAAGCTGCAGGGTCGGCGGGGAATACTCTGGTGGCGTGGACAACCAGAATGACTGTACCTCTGTTCAAGGAAGGTGTCCGTAACGACTGCTCCAACTGTCAACGTATTACCTTATTTAACCTGCCAGGAATAGTTAGGCTTTAGTATTTTGGACGAATGTCCTGTTGTGTCTCTACTGCTTGCAACTTGCGTGCTATATCGTAAAATTTGCCGATCTAGCTTATAGTCTCTGCTCAGCATCTTCCCATGCAGTTCTGACTGTTTTATCTTGTCTGATCCTGTACTTATTCATCATATCCGTCGTTGATACTTTTCAGTGTCTGTTACCCCTGTTCAGTTTTTGTAGTTGCTTTTTTCTCGGCCTGTTTCTTCTGAACTTTCTGAATCATGCTGATTCTTTTCGTTTTCTTTCTCGCTTAATGGAAAGTTTCTTCGTTACTACGACGGCTCTGGAATACATCACACCATTGATTGATTCAAGTTTATTGGCTGGTTTCGTATTGAAGACATTGTTAGCTTGACTTGTATAATCACACAATTGTTTCTTGCTTCTTATATGAATGATACGTTTTCTAGATTCTTCAACCGGTTCAAAGTCCTGAACAATTTCCGTCCAAATTTTTCAGTATTATTCAGCTGAATAATTTCTGTCATAACCACCATTTCAGTCTGTGGCCTCGTAGGTTTGTTCGGAATGGTTTTACTAATATATTCAGTTCGATGATCCTCTTGTTAAGTTTTTTCTCTGTCAAGCGCTCTTCCTATCTGATTCAAGCTGTAATGCTATTCGAAGCATGTTCGTTTCAATGAACCTCTAATGGTCCATTAGACGTCTCTCACTTGCCTCGCTGAAGGATAGGCCTTCTTTAATTCTTTTCGCCTTCTTCGATAATTCCTGCCCTGTTTCGCTTTGATGTAGTGTCATCTCATTACAACCTTATTTTCTTCCTTCACCCACTGCTTGAGAACCCATCGCTATTTCTCCGCTTTCCCAGGAGCAGGTGAATACGTGACTCATGATTTATTCGCCTTCATATTACTGACTGTTCCAGTTTCCCTGCGCGGTTTTTGATAATCCCGGCATGGGCCGATTCGGTTTAAGAATATTTTCATTGTGATACACCATAATGGATAGATGACTGGTCGTACTTGGTCTCTCCTCTGGCTTCTAATATGTGTTGTCCTACCAGAAGCTGAAGCTTACGCTGACATTGCTTTGAGAATCAATGAGGCACGTTAGTTTCGCCGCCCTGTCACGGTTTCGCTCTTGGAATATAGATTGTAAAATCAGCACTCATCGTTGCATAAGTCAAGTAGGCACCGTTAAGAAGTGTTTGACTGGCTGATATAATTATGCGTATAATTAAAATATGATATATATATTTTGCAGATTAAAAATTCTTAGATTTTTTCACTTTTAATTGCAAAAGTACATCTCACTGTAATTAATCATTGAACAGTTTAGG